CTGGTGAAAGTACAAGTAGAAATACCACACTGTACAAATACCTCATTACAAGTAAAACCCCTGAATTTAACACATTACATTCGTATTAACGACAAAACTGTAACCATACTCCTTTTAAAGACATAAATATTATATGTATATTTATATATGGGTTGTATTTCAATGTTCAAACTGGCTGGAATTACAAACACAATTTGGGGTAGTCTAAAACTTTTTTTGTAAAATCTGAATCTCAAAAGAAATGTATTTGGCTGAAAAATTAAGAGTAAAAGGTTCAATTCTTCCCTCTGAAATGTGATAAAGGGGAAATATAAGTTGTATAAAATAGAAATACTTACTACAGTTTCGTTTAGTTCAATGGAATGTTGATGGATGGACATCACATAACTGTGAACTGAAAAGTACTGCTTCACTCACTTGAGCCAGGTTTCATTTGTTTGAATTAGACCCATCTATCCTGCTGTCTACCCGAAATGGATGGATTTGTGTGGTTTGGTCAACTGCACTGCTCACAGGAGAACCGTGAAAGCCTCAGCTGGTGTCGGTATCTTTGTTAAGAACACTTGATCAGGTTGATGTTGACATAGTAGGTAAATCGATTGATGGAATCCTTTGTTTACATTTGAACATAGGGTGTCACAATATTTTTTTATCATAAAGATGATATTTCACCAAGAGTAATATTGGATACAGGTGTGAATTATCATGGGGGAGTTTTCATTGAATTTTTAAAGGACTCAAAATATTGTGCGTTTAATGGGGGGTCAGATCCAGAGAATGATAACTTTACTTCTGTTTCTGTTGGAGGAAAGGCTGTAGTAGACTACACTGTGGCACCGCATGTTGACCTGAAATGTTTCTTAAATGTAAGGAGCAACATAAGAAAAGGGATCTGAAAGATGAATTTAAAATGTGTCACTTTAATTTTGATGGAAGGCTTATGTATTTCAAAAGATGCTTCAAAGGAGGACAAGCACTGCAGTTAGGACAATTACAAAGTAGGAACTCACAGCAATTTTGAAAGGAAATAAATAAACTTGGTCCTCGAAAGAGCAAGATAATTAGGCTACCACTGGAAATCTTAACGGAGGACGGTGGATCCTCTTTTGAAATGGTTTTGATACTTATACCTCGTAAGAGATCTTCAATTAAAGTATCCAATTGCCTGTCTGAAATAATTAATAATCATTAATAATAATTATTAATTACGTTAAATAATGTGACTTAATTTATATGAAATCACCTCGTGGGGCACCATTCCCAAGAAGGGAAATATTATAGCCAGTAAATGGTATCAGTCTCAAAAAGTTGACTAAACTATCAATTTGGAATTTTGATTAATAATTAAATTAATAACAATAACCAAATTTAATAGTAAAGCCTGAAGGATTTCGGAGTTCTTGACATAGCAGAGGTTGACTATTCACTCACTCTTGTGCAACATTAAACAGACAGCGGGTATGATCGCATAAAAAGTTATTTATTCATAAAGGCAGCAAAACAATACACAAATTCTAACTAACTAACTAACTATATACAAGTGTGTGTGTGTGTGTGTGTGTGTGTGTGTGTGTGCGCGCGCGGGGGGGGTGTAGTAATCAAAGGGCCGTTTGGCCTACAAACAAAATGGCTGACAACAGAGAACTACATGATGGCCAAATCAAATCTGGTTTCAGAGCATTTTAACAATGAACCATTGGATGCAGTCTGTGCATCACAATTGTCACTGAGTAGAGAGTTTATTTCTTTGCTGCACTCACTGAGACTCAACCTGCTGATGAGTTCAGGACAGCCAGGGTTTGGGATCTGTGTAATGGAAGAGATAAACTGTTCTAAACAGGGGTTCTCCATTGTTAGGTTCTAGAAAGGAAGGTGAGACTAAAACAGGTTGTCTTTGTACAAAAATCAAATGTGTGGTTGGCTATGGTGTTGCTTGGCAGATACCTTTAAGTGTAACTTGTGAGTACACAAGCCAAACAAAAGAATGTGCAGGCCTTCACTGTGGGGGAGGAGGAGGGGTAGCTAAAACACAAGCAGGCATGAAAGATTAGGGCAGGAATTTAGGACAGTAAATTTGCTTGCAAGGATTACAACATGCACTAACTGGAATGTGTGGCAGAAACAGATAGTGTTGTATCTTAAAGTTAACTCAAGCTGAAACTTGGGCAGTGAGGTACAAAACTTCACAGGGCTGGTAGCACACTGTGCTCTATCTCTTTCTAGGCTGAAATGCACGGCAGTTACAGCCAGTTCTCACGTAAGTTCTCAAGGTTTCACAGGGCTGGTGGCACGCTGTGATAAATTACAAAGAACAAAGAGCAAAAAAATCAACAGGAAATTCTGACAGCTTGATCAGATTGCATTGAATACGTGGTATTCAAATGCCAAACCAAAATCTTACAAGGGTAGGTCAACTTGAATAGCCAGCAGCAATAGCAAACTCTAGTGTAACACTATGAAGACTTAAAGATAGCAGTGATCAGTCACACAATGTCTCTCAGTTTGCTTTAGCCTTATGAATAAATTAATTCTCACCACAATGTACTTGTCTGTAAGTACAGCTGGAGGTCTACTGCTGTAGCAGACTAGTGGTGTGAATGTTAAGACCTTCGGGTAGTCTGAAAGTAGAATCAAAGATTTTTGGTGTGAACCAAAAATGTACACTGATATTAATATTGCACAATTGTGAATGAATGTCAGTGGTACTACACCTCGCAACGGGCTCCATAAATGTTGTAAATTACAACAGTAGGTCTCACAGAGAGGCACCAAAAATGTAGGGAATCTACTAGGCGTCACAAGGAGGCACCAAAAATGTTGTGACTATGCCTCCCCAAGCGTCTGACTGCGTAATAGATCTCCAATTAGAGTATCAAATTGGCTATCTGAAATAATTAATCATTATTGATAATAATGATTAATTATGTTAAATAATGTGACTTAATTTACGTGTGTGTGTGTGTGCAAGAGAGAGAGGGACAAAGACAGGTGCGGTAATCAAAGCTGGCTCCAGATCGGGGGAGGTGTTGTCTGACCGTGTGGTCAGGACAGAGACAAAGGAAAAGAAGCGGGAACTTTGAGCTGCCTCTTTGGGTGTAGCTCTGTTGAAAGCAAATTTGTAAATGTGTCTATGTGAATGTGATATGTGTTGCAAAGGGTCTGGATTACTGCAGAGGATGTTTAGTTGCGTGCAAGACTGTCTGAGAACAGCATTAGCAAACTAACCTTACTTAGCTTTGGCAAAGCCAACCAACCAATAACCTAACTGCAAACAATCACAACACTGACTCAATAAACAGCATTAAATCACATACAACAAGTTAGACAGTCTTGCTTAGCCTGTACAGCTGTGATAAAGCTATGCCCAGTTGTTACGTTACCAATCCTTGAATGTTGATTGTCTTGATTCCCCAAAAAGTTATGCCATTCAGAGTCGAGCCCTGCCACCACTGCAAAATGTGCTGTAGATGGGAGCACAGATGGGAATCCTGTCTTGTAAAGCAAAAATGTGAAATACTTCAGCTTTGGAACTGGCTTGTTTAGTTGCCAGATGAAAGGCTGACCAAAAGGTTTTCGAGTGGGATAGAGCACAGAATTACCCCTGGTCATGAGATGTCTCTGCAGCATTTTTTCTGAGTTATATTACATTTTCAGTAATAATTTGCATTGTAACATAAATACAGTCAAACAAAAACTACTTCACCTCCATAGGAAACAATGGAAGGAGGAGATTTGGAGCAAGTCCAGACTTAGAAATTATGTTCAAATTAAAGAAGTTTACTACACATTAAACTCAAGGAGGGGTCAGAGGTCCATGTATGCACAGATCTGGTACCTCACCTCGGGTAATTGAGGCAGGTATAACGGTATCCTTGAATCATTGTGTTTTGGTGATCTTGAAGTTGTTAAAGATGAATCTCATTTGCTGTGAAAGCATTTGGCGAAGAAGCCTGACATATTTTGGAAGTCTGAGTGTGATATGTTGAGCTGGTTCTTCAAAGAGGAAATTTATGTCTTAGCCAGATTCATTGTAAAACATGGATATTCAGACAGAAAACACGGTATCCTATGTAATTCTATAATCTTTTATTATTGATTTGCATATTTTTGAAAAGCTTATTTGTTTATCTGTTTGTATATTTTGAAATTCTCTTGTCATGAGTATGTGGATATAAATTCATGAAAAGACTTTGGGGCCATCTTTGAATGTTTGTACTGAGATCGTTTTGGTGTCTTGTAGGCCCATGTGGGCTGGGCACAATTATGTGCATGACTTTTCAATAAACCAGTCAGTCAATCAACATTATCCCGCTAATGTATGTTCAAGTGTTCATTTCCCCCGATAAGTTGGTTTTAATTCGTTATTTGATTCTATAAACACAGTCTGACCATCTCGAGCTTTTATATTGGTACTTCCGGTAACCGGCAGTGTGAATTTGCATATTAGCTAAATATTTAGTTTCACCCAGAACATTTAGATTTAACATTTAACATTTAGATTTAGATTTAGCATTTAGATTTAACATTTAGATTTAGATTTAATATTTATATTTAACATTTATATTTATATTTAGCATTTATATTTAACATTTAGATTTATATTTATATTTAGCATTTAGATTTAACATTTAGATTTAGATTTAGATTTAATATTTAGATTTAACATTTAGATTTAGATTTAGATTTAATATTTAGATTTAACATTTAGGTGCCACATTTAATATTTAGATTTAACTATTTAATATATTTCTAAGTTAACAAATATTGCTGTAAATGTGGTAAAAGGTGACGTTAAAAAATTCACAATACTTTTTTAAACATTGTTTGAAGCTAAATGTGGCAAAATGTTGATGTTATTTTCAGCGTGAGACACTTTACAAACGGCACCCCATACAGCTGCCGCGGCAAGTCAGTGGCACCTGAGGATGCCACCGGAAGTGGCCACAGCAAACAGCGACAACTGCCGCGGCACCTAAGGTTGCCACCGGAAGTGCCACGGCTAGCTGCCGCTGGATGTTGACACTTGATGAAGTTCTCAGGGTTCCGTTTGAGGAGAGAATGATGGATCTGAAACAACCAGGCAAACACTCGCCAGACTTTAAATCAACTCAGCAGGCGAGTAGGAAAATGTTTTAAAAGCTTCTCCCACCGATGACAACAGATCGTTTGTTCTTCTACATTTATGCATAATTTTGAGATGCCTGGTGACTGTGTGCTTAAAAGTGCGCGCGTCTCCGTTGCGCACCACGCTCACTTCGCGTACAATCCTCATCCTCATCTTCGTCTTCATCGGATCTAGAGCTGAGCAGCAGCAGCAGCTGCAATAACAGAAGATCAGCCTGTCAAAGCATCTGAAAATGGCTGAGCTCCGTCCCGCCCGGAGGAGCTCCAGTCCGCCTCTGATGGGATTAATGTGCGTTGTTTTGCTCGTATTCGTCTCCATAGCCTCCGCGAGTCATGGTGTTGTTTCTAGAGACAACGAGACGTTGAGCAGTCCATCCGGAGAAACACAGGAGGACCCCCATCATCAAACTAACTCCACTGCCCACAAGAAGGCTTTCCCCGTCCTCTCCTTCAACTACGACCACGTCAGGAAACCCTTTGAGATCTCTCTGTGGATCCTCCTGGCCCTGCTCATGAAACTTGGTGAGTGACAGAAATTACAGCATGGTGTCCTGCTGCATAGAAATAATCAAATAATCCCTCCTCCAGCATTAGTGAGAGGCTTGTATAGCTTAATTCCATTAAGATCAACAGAAAAGAGGGACAAAACAAGAGCAGAAGCAATGAAACAGACACAAAAATGAATATTTTTTTGAAAGATCATGAAATTGCCACACAAAAATATTGTGATACTATGATCTATCAGTTTTCCCCCACTTCTTCAAATGACTGTCTTGTGAAAAATAGTAAAATTTGATTTTCAGTGACTTAAAGTAATTAAGATGAAACAATTTATTAGTGTGAATAGTGAAAAACCTAAAGTATTAGAGAACCTTGACAGGAAATCGAATGGTTATGGCCATATCTTTAACCTAAGTTTGTATGCCCCCTGGTATGGAAAGCTGCAAAAGTTATTTTATTACCTAAAAACAAGGACATGTTTACAGGTGCTAATAGCCTATGTCTACAGCAGTGACGGACTGGGACCAAAAAGAGGCCCTGGCATTTTTGACACAGAGGCCCCATGGCGGCGCATCGGCCAGCCAGGGGTGAAAAATGTTCATATTATTTTACAAAAAAATATGCATTTTTACGTCATTTTAGATCATCAGTTCCTTATTTGTGAAAGAACAGGCATGGTGTCTCATATCCCCCCTCCCACATATTACTAGGTACTATGATTGATGATTTTACACATACTAAGATAAAAAACACTACCATTGGCGGAACGTTTCAGAGTGCCACAGAGACACCGAGTGTTCCACAACTACCATAGAAACTCACACACTCACTCACTGCCTTGATGCACAATAGAAGAGGAGATATACACAGTCATTATAAATGATAAAATTGATTTGTGGCTTGCATGGGAGCATGTGGAAAGCTAACCATATGATGAGAATGCAGAAGTTCAGAACACAAACCACGCAGTCAACTCACTACAATCGCACTGGTACAGTAGACAACAATGCACAGCACACAAGATGATAAGGCAGCAGCAGAACCCCCATAAATTCAGGCACATTCAAAGGCCAGACTAATAACCTCAGTTAATAATACTAGTTCTGTGTCTACCAAAACACAAAAATCTGAAATCAAACACCACACAACTTCATCCTGAAGGCTTAGCCTACTTCCACCATTAAACACAGGCGCCCCCTCTTGGACAGAATACAGCACACCCAAATTATAACAGAAACATAAATCTTACACCAACCACAATGCATATTACAATAGCTTCACCAAAACATGAAAAGAGCCCTGCACAGCCACAGTGCACATTTCAATAGCTCTATCAAAAGCAATAGTTACAACAGAAACAAGAAGGACCCTATGTGTTATAAGCCATAATAAATGTTACAGCAGCCACAATGCATATTACAATAGCTTCACCAAAACATGACAAGAGCACTGCACAGCTAGAGTATAAAAATAAATATGTGTCTCTCACTGTCTTCTTTTAAATTTCTTCTTAAGACTCACATTTATCGTATGGTCTTTTCTTAATTGATGTAATTAATTATTGTAACTGTTTTTAAATTATTTGATGTTTTATTGTTTTATGTACTAATTGTTTTTATTGTGTAATTGTTTTATTGTTAAGCACATTGTAACTCCGTTTTGAAAGGTGCAATACAAATTATTATTATTATTATTATTATTATTATTATGTCTTACCTTAGTAAGAGTAGTAGTTAGCAGGCTGCGAAGGAGTTTGCTCTTCTCTGAGGCAGAGGCCGTACTGCTAGCTGCACTTGCTGCAGAGGTGCTCGGTCTGTCGCTGCCGGGTAAACACTTTTTTGTAAATAAATCTGATTTTATAGCATACTTTTCACTCTCCGCGAGCATAGCTTTCCTTTTTGTCTCTCTCTTTTTCTCCGCTCCACCCTTCTCCACCCGTCTTTTTGTGCCTCGATCCATTTTCGTTTCTTGTTGTGATGTTGTCGTTGACGTTGAGTGCATTACCCATCATTCATTTGTCACTTGTCAGATGTCAAATGTCATCACTCAATGATCGCGAGAAAATGCATGATGACCAAAAACACTTTATATTACCGGTAGCCCCATTTCACTCATATTTATTTAAAATTATATTTAGGCTACTACTTATATGTATATTGTGGCTGATAAAAATGTTTTGGGCCACCAAGAGAAGATTTATTCATTTATTTATTTTTTAAAATTTTTTTATTATTTTTTTTTGCCTGCCTGCCGGCGGCCACAAAGCCATGCGGCCGTTCTGGCATTTGCCCAAATGCCAGATGGCCAGTCCGTCACTGGTCTACAGTGAGGACGACACGGGGTGGTGTGCCCCAGGGAAGTTGCTTGGGCCCATTGCTCCTCCCTATTTTACTAATGATATGCCAACTGCTTTCGGTAAAGTTAGTTTACTATGTTTGCTGATTATGTCACAGTATATATGTTAGCAAAGAGTGTGGATGAGTTAAATATTCTTTTTGAAAATGAAATGACATTAATTTTAGACTAGGTAACCCAAAATAATCTATATGTAGTTCTGAATGTGTTAAAGACAAAATGTATTGTTTTGCTGCAAACCACATGCTAAGGAAAGACAACTAGTTATACATCATCCCCATGAAGGGCAGCTGTATTGAGAAATTCACTGAAGCTGATATTCTAGGGATCACCCTTAATGAGCAGCGATTGTGGCAAAAGAAAAGAGACAAAATATATATATATACAGTACAGGCCAAAAGTTTGGACACACCTTCTCATTCAATGCGTTTTCTTTATTTTCATGACTATTTACATTGTAGATTCTCACTGAAGGCATCAAAACTATGAATGAACACATGTGGAGTTATGTACTTAACAAAAAAAGGTGCAATAACTGAAAACATGTTTTATATTCTAGTTTCTTCAAAATAGCCACCCTTTGCTCTGATTACTGCTTTGCACACTCTTGGCATTCTCTCGATGAGCTTCAAGAGGTAGTCACCTGAAATGGTTTCCACTTCACAGGTGTGCCTTATCAGGGTTAATTAGTGGAATTTCTTGCTTTATCAATGGGGTTGGCACCATCAGTTGTGTTGTGCAGAAGTCAGGTTAATACACAGCCGACAGCCCTATTGGACAACTGTTAAAATTCATATTATGGCAAGAACCAATCAGCTAACTAAAGAAAAACGAGTGGCCATCATTACTTTAAGAAATGAAGGTCAGTCAGTCCGGAAAATTGCAAAAACTTTAAATGTGTCCCCAAGTGGAGTCGCAAAAACCATCAAGCGCTACAACGAAACTGGCACACATGAGGACCGACCCAGGAAAGGAAGACCAAGAGTCACCTCTGCTTCTGAGGATAAGTTCATCCGAGTCACCAGCCTCAGAAATGGCAAGTTAACAGCAGATCAAATCAGAGACCAGATGAATGCCACACAGAGTTCTAGCAGCAGACCCATCTCTAGAACAACTGTTAAGAGGAGACTGCGCGAATCAGGCCTTCATGGTCAAATAGCTGCTAGGAAACCACTGCTAAGGAGAGGCAACAAGCAGAAGAGATTTGTTTGGGCCAAGAAACACAAGGAATGGACATTAGACCAGTGGAAATCTGTGCTTTGGTCTGATGAGTCCAAATTTGAGATCTTTGGTTCCAACTGCCGTGTCTTTGTGAGACGCAGAAAAGGTGAACGGATGGATTCCACATGCCTGGTTCCCACTGTGAAGCATGGAGGAGGAGGTGTGATGGTGTGGGGGTGTTTTGCTGGTGACACTGTTGGGGATTTATTCAAAATTGAAGGCACACTGAACCAGCATGGCTACCACAGCATCCTGCAGCGACATGCCATCCCATCCGGTTTGCGTTTAGTTGGACGATCATTTATTTTTCAACAGGACAATGACCCCAAACACACCTCCAGGCTGTGTAAGGGCTATTTGACCAAGAAGGAGAGTGATGGAGTGCTGCGGCAGATGACCTGGCCTCCACAGTCACCGGGCCTGAACCCAATCGAGATGGTTTGGGGTGAGCTGGACCGCAGAGTGAAGGCAAAGGGGCCAACAAGTGCTAAACACCTCTGGGAACTCCTTCAAGACTGTTGGAAAACCATTTCAGGTGACTACCTCTTGAAGCTCATGGAGAGAATGCCAAGAGTGTGCAAAGCAGTAATCAGAGCAAAGGGTGGCTATTTTGAAGAAACTAGAATATAAAACATGTTTTCAGTTATTGCACCTTTTTTTGTTAAGTACATAACTCCACATGTGTTCATTCATAGTTTTGATGTCTTCAGTGAGAATCTACAATGTAAATAGTCATGAAAATAAAGAAAACGCATTGAATGAGAAGGTGTGTCCAAACTTTTGGCCTGTACTGTATATAATCTGAAGATGCTCCTCTTCCCTAACACCACTTTGCAGGTTACATAAGATTTGGTATTATCTTATCTCGACTACTGCCCAGCAATCTGGTCAAGCGTTGCAAGTAAAGAGCTGTACAAGCTTCAGATAGTGCAGATTAGAGCAGCTCTTCTTGCACTCAAGTGTTGAGTAAGAGAAAGTATCGACCAAATGCATTTAGAGAAAAAAATGAGTACCACAAGTACAGCAGTGATTAAAATACAAATACATCATGACTGAGGGTGATGAACTGAATATAGAAACAACCAGCTGTTGAGTTACCACCGACAAAGTGGAGCAGCATTATGTCTTCAGGAATTACTTAAGGTATCAAGTCTAAAGTCAAAACTAATTTAGTATGATTCCCACAGATTACTGCAGTACTTCACTGTATCAGTGAAATTTATACCAAACTCCACTTAAAAACGGACAATAGTTAAATTTTGCCCCACTTTCCTCTTCAGCAGAATCGCTATTAAAAAATATTTATAACATAAAAAATGTTTAGAGTTTACTGTTGAGTCTGGCAGTCAAATAAATAATTTTCATGTTTGTTTGTTTGTTTATTGGGATCCCCATTAGTTGATATTGCCATCCATATTAAAATAATTTTACTCGAGATGCATTTT